TCCGCGGCATGTGGGATCCTCCCGGACCGGGGCACGAACCCACGTCCCCTGCATCGGCAGGCGGACTCTCAACCACTGCGCCACCAGGGAAGCCCATGAGTTGTTTTTGTCACATTAATTAAGGCTCAGTTGACTCTATTTTTTTTAACCTCGCAATTTAGTATAAAAGCATTTTTGAAGAGAATGTTTCTTTCACCATCACAGTATGATTGTGCTAACTATACCATGGGATCCCTAAATGCGAATAATAATTCCTTATGGTTTTAAGATTCTTTGTGATTAATAAAGCATTTTCAGGCATTTCATTTAATTTGATTTTCTCAGTGATCGTGTTATTGCTAAGCAGAGCAGACATTCCCGTGGAGAGCAGAGAAAATTTACCCTTGGAGAAGTTAAGTGATTTGATTGAGGTCACATGACTGTTAAAAGGTGAAGTCAGAATCCAAATTTTCAGACTCCTTGAATTTTTCACACTGCAGTTTTGTATTACAGTGTCACGTGCATTGTCACGTGTGTGTTTGGCAATAATGAGGCTCATTTATAATGAACTTAAGTGTTATTAATAGGGAATTAAAATTTTGTGTAATAAATTTAGAAATTATAGCCCATTCTTTCAGATGGAGGTTTTTACTAATCTTTTCAAAAGAGGAAATATATATATATTTGGCCTTAAATACATATATAAATAGAGATAGAGATAAGGTGAGCCCTCTATCTCAGTGTCATGTTTCATGCAAAACTGTTAAAGCCCTTGAGAAATGCTGTTAACCCCATCTGTGCTTAGACCGCAGAGCCGAAAAGCCATTAACCCCACGAGGAGCGGCAGTGGTAAAATGCCCACTGTAGCCCATACCCAAGGCTGGGGGATGCAGGAGAACCAGCTTGTCCAAGGCCGTCTGTGGATGAACCTCAGATAGGAGCTAAGGCTCCTTCCAATGACCTCATGAGTCCGGGATTATCATCAGTTTATCACTCTTAGCAGAGCTGATCGGGACCTGACACTGCTGCCCAGAAGGCCACCTTCCGTCCTGCTCGCCGCACTGCTCGCCTTGGTCAAGGGCTCCGGTTCCCTAGAACTAGGCCAGCCCTGCTCAGGGCTGGGGTCCTTCCCCAGACGGATCAGATTCGCTGGTTAGCATCTGGTGGCTTCATACCAGAATCCCGAGGCTGCCAGTCCCCTGTCATCCTGCCCGGGGCTTGACCTCTGGCCCAGGCTCCCCTCCTGGGCTCCTGGCCCCTGGCTCTGTCAGATTCTGACCCACCCCAGCTTTCCGTGGAGCCTGCCCTCCCAGGTTGGGGCTCAGGCTGCTACCTCAGCCAAGCCACCAAACTGCCTTCCAGTCGCACTTCTGCCCGGCCTTACATTCTGTGCTGGCTTGTGATCCTGGACCCTGTGGGATGTAGGCTTAGAGCCGGGCTCTGGGGCCAAACTGCTGTGGTTCACGGCCCTTCTACAACCCTGAACCCCTGTGGGACTCACCAAACCTCACTGAGCTCATCGTCCTCGTCTGTAAGACGGGGTAACAGGACTGCCCTCAAAAAGCTGTTTTGAAGGTGAAGTGGGTGTGTGTGTCCGTGTGTGTCCACCACTTAGAGCAGTGCCAGTTCCTGTTTAAATGTTGACCTGCTATAACAGCAAGAGATGTCTTATGCAACCTTTCAAGAGGTACCCACACAGATCAAAGTAACAGAGGAACCATAGACCTTACTGCTTTTATCAGTTAAATTTCTTTTATGGCGGTTGTTGACTTCATATCAAGCGGATGATGAGGATGATAAAAAGAGTAGGAGTTAATAATTACTGAGCATTTGCTTTGGGCAGACATTACGTCAGCTAACGAAACCCTCACAACAACCCTGGCAAGTAGGTCTTGTAATTGTGATTCCTATTTCACTGAAACCGAGCCCTGAACTAGTGCATGGTAGAGGCAGAATTAGAGCACGGGCCCAGTTTACAACTGAGTGTAATGATGACCACATCTGATTCATTCATTTTATTTGAGATCTAGGAGGTGGTGATTGTTTGCGCCCGAGTAGAAGATGCCAGTTTACGTCTCTTTCTTCCTAAAAGGTGTCATAACAAATTCTTTGAGGTTGTTTTATCTTCTTTTAATGAAGGACCTATAAACTAAGCATTGCATATATGGATTGCAAGTGTTGAAATCTATTGTGCCTTAAAAATAAAACCTGCACGGAAGGGTGACTTGGATTTGTCTTTTCCTGGCTAGGGTAGGAGCTGTCTGGGGGGGTAGATGCCCTGGTAGCAAATGTCTTTCCTGTCTGAGTAGCAATCCCGTTGACTTAGAAAACTTTGACAGTGAGCACACTTTGATGGGTATTGATAGTCAGTGTCAGAAACATGCGGCAGCAGAGATAATAAAACAAACCGTGTGTTTCTTCTTAGGAAGAACTAAGCCTTTTCACGAGGGAAGCTGGAGACAGAATTTTAAATGTTCTGTCAATTCGTTCATTTAGTCCAATTTTCTTTCTCAAAGGGGAAATTACTGAAGACCATTCTGGTTCCGTTTCAGTTCACCTAATTCAAGTATTTCTTGGATATTTTATTTTTACAGCTTACATGTCCTAGCTATTGTGTCAGGCAGTCGGAGCCGTAGTGCTTAATAACAAATAGAAAGCTGTGGAATTTTGGTTGGTTTTCTTTGGTTTTACCAAGGCATCTGGTAGAAAGTCCAGTTCCTGCTCCAGCTTGTTTAGTCTGGAACCACTGAGTTCAGGATATTTTTTGTGTTCTACTTCTGGATAAAGGTGACTTGTATTGTAGGTATTGCTCTTAGTGTACTCTCAAAATATATTTCCATCGTCTGACACATATTTTCTGAAGAACGCCTCTGGAGGAGGACCGGGCATGCGTTACCGGTGGGTGTAAGGAAGGAACGCTGGAAAGGAGACAGAGACCTGGATTTTAATCCTGGCTCTGTGGCTGGAATGGCTGTTGGACGTTGGGCAAATCCTGTATCTTTCTGAGCCTCCCTTACTTGCAAAAGGGGAGTGTTAGATTGGATCATGTCCCGTGCTATTTTTTAAAAATTGTGGTAAAATACACAACATAAAATTTACCATTTTCACCATTTTTTTTTTTTTTTTTTTGCGGTACGCGGGCCTCTCACTGTTGTGACCTCTCCTGTTGCGGAGCACAGGCTCCGGACGCGCAGGCTCAGTGGTCATGACTCACGGGCCCAGCCGCTCCGTGGCATGTGGGATCTTCCCAGACCGGGGCACGAACCCGTGTCCCCTGCATCGGCAGGCGGACTCTCAACCACTGCGCCACCAGGGAAGCCCTCCAATCTTCTTTAGTGGCTCTTCTGTGAAGAGTTTTATCAGCATTAGGTAAAGCATCACTTGATCCCGAGGTACAGCAAATCAGTACGTAACTCTGAGGTTCTTCTCGACTCCGTGGTATTTCTGTTCTTGAGACAAAGATAATTTCAGAAAATGCTACCGAAGGTGGCCGCTCCCCTGTGTTCCTCCCCCTCTCCCCATCTGCTGTCACGGTCCCTCCTGCATCCTAAGAGGACATGTCTCTGTAGCAGTGTCTTGGCTTTTAAGCTGTTCCAGTTTTGGTGATAAAGGCTCACAACTGCACTTCTTGTTGCAGTCTGTGAAGAAAATGGAGGGGTATTTGCCCCTGTCCATTTATCATAATTATAGCATGCAGCGGTTGCGAATGGAAAGGGGCAGTTAGAGAGAAAATTCCTTCTTCCAGAGAAAACAAAGTGGCAGATTTAGCTGCTGACACTCTGTGCTTTGTCAGAGAAGTCTTTGAAGAGCTCCTCCCCTGATTTACTCATGATCAGGATCAGGTACTTCTGTCCTCATGTGCCCACGTTCAGATTTCTGCATCTGAAGCTCTGCAGCTCTGAGATGTCCCTTCTGTGCTCATGAAATCTCATGAGCCCGAGGCTGACCCCCTCCACGGTCCTACTCAGGCCCTCAGGGCTGCTTCTCAGGTAGGAGAGAACACGGTGGTGTCATTCTTTTTTCTTTCTTTTTTTTTTTTAGATATACCACACAAGCACAATATTTATTTATTTATTTTCTGGCTGTGCTGAATCTTCGTTGCGGCGCGTGGGGTTCTCTAGTTGTGGCGCACGGGCTCAGTAGTTGAGGTGCGCAGGCTTAGTTGCCCCGTGGCATGTGGGATCTTAGTTCCCCGACCAGGGATCGAACCCACGTCCCCTGCACTGGAAGGAGGATTCTTAACCACTGGACCACCAGGGAAGTCCTGGTGGTGTCATTCTTGACGGCAGTACGTCTGAGCCCCCAAAATGTTAAATATGATAATTAGTAGAGCTCATTTACCTGAGGAACACACAACTAGAATCGGTACTATCTCTGATATGTTTGTAATGCTTAGCATTTACAAATTTTTAAAATTAACCCTCCCAAGAGCGGCATGAACCATCTTACTCGGGAAGAGCGAGCCTCACCTCAGTTCAGTGACTTGCTAAGGATCACATCAGAGAGGCATGGCCCCATAGGAATCTTCGGCTGTGATGCAGAAGTATTGATTCGTTGTTGCTGCTACGCCCGCCCCCCGCCTTAATTTTGGTCTCTTTCTTTAGGGAAGCATTTCCAAGCTCTCATTTTCAATGTTTACCCCCAAATGTTAATATGTACCATACATATGTATTTGGTGTATTGCTAGTTTTGTTATGTGACGAGATTTATCTCTTTCTCTTTTATTTAAAATACAGAATTTGGAGAAAAGTGGTATATCAGAGAAAAATGACATAGGTGAGTAATGATTTCTTTTTTAACTTAAGAGTATGTATCCAGGTGTATTCTTGTAAATTATATTTCAGTGAAGTGAATTTTCCTTTGTTTACCCTCATGAAGACACAGGGAGAACACTTTTCAGGTTGACATATTGGAAGTAACAGCTAATATTTTGGATTGAATTCCCTCGGCCACAGTTTACTGAGTTGCCAGTAAGGACAGATTCCCATGCCAGGGGGGCCGCTGTGAGGGTGCAGAGGCGAATGAGACAGAGGCTGTTCCTAGGGTTGCACACTTCGTGGGATGAAGGGTCAGCTGTGGCCTTTGCTCATGTGCCCTCCGCTTGGAGCCGGGTCGCCACTGCTGACTTGCAGGCAGCACGCCCGTCCCCTTCGGGTGAGCATGGCAGCCGCGTCTTCTGTTAAACCATGGGGCAAGGGCACTCCTGGCTGCCTTGCAGGCACACTGTACCTGCCTCACAGCCCATCAGCACCCATATCTGCACTCCCTTTTACACACATCTTTCTCCCCATGTATTGTGAGCATCTTCAGGGGTGTGACCATGAGTTCGGATTCGGATTCCGTGGGCAGCGGGCCCCAGGGTGTTGATGGGAGGGCAGGGCTGCGCCTCTGTGTGTTGGGTCTCTTCCTAGAGGGTGTGAACTTGATCATTGTCAGTCATCCCAGGGTGGGCCATGGACACCTGGGAGGTGGGCCTTTGGACGGGGGAAAGGGACGCTTTCCTTCCTAGGTCCTCCTTGCCTGGGCCTGGGTTCTGAGGCGTCTAGAAGGCAGGAGAGGCCCCCCTCCGGGTGGCAGGGTAGGATGGCCTGTGCTGGGCCTGGGTGTGCGGGAACCACAGCGGGTGGGCTGGAGTCTTCGGATCTGAGAGCAGCCGTGTGTAAGGAGCCACAGGGGTTCATTGCTCTGCCTTCCCTGCATTACAACACCCTGTGTGGCTGAGCCTCTACTCATGGGAGGCGACTTAAAATCCTCAAAGATTTTACCTCTGTGGCCAACCCTTGTGCATTTGGGCATTTGGCTGTGTGTTGATTTCGTGGGAGCTGGTGGGCCTCCTCGTAGTAAGTGGTTCTTAAATGAACAATGGCCCTGATCTGGAATGTGGTCTTGAACATACCTGGGGAGATGCCTGAGCAAGTGAATCTACAGTCTCCAAGTTGCAAATGGCAGATCCAGTGATAACTGAACTTCGTATCAGTTCATCTGAAAAACGACTCAGAGAGCTTATTTGCTACAGTCTTAATGTCAGTCTACAGGACCGGGATGGCAGTGGGGCTACTAAAGCAGCCATCCCAGCAGAATCAGTGCCTGGATCCTGGTCTCACAGTGCTCAGGGCTGGGTGACCGACTCCAGGCGTGGGGCAGTCTTTTTTCCTCTTTTGACTCATTGCCTAATCAGTACATTTACTGGTGACCATTGTTCTCACCAAGTACGACATCACTCAGGTGGCTCTTCCTGTGTATGTGTGTGTGTGTGTGTGTGTGTGTGTGTGTGTGTGTGTGTGTGCGCGCGCGCGCGCGCGTGTGCGTGTGTGTGCATCCATCCCCCAGCCTGAAGTCCCAGGCACTTGTTACGCAGCTTTTGTCAGACGACCACCACATTGATTTCACATCGGAAAAACACCAGCATGAGATAATTTTTGACCGGGAGAGATTAGTACTTAGTGGAATGGTTGGTGCATGGTATATACTCAGAAACGGGAGAATTAGAGAACCTTTGATTGCTTTTTCTTTTTGTGAATTTTTGAATTGTATTTTATTTATTTTTTTGTACAGCAGGTTCTTATTAGTTATCCATTTTATACATATTAGTGTATATATGTCAATCCCAATCTACCAGTTCATCCCACCCCCCACCCCCACCCCCACTGCTTTCCCCGCTTGGTGTCCATACGTTTCTTCTCTACATCTGTGTCTCAATTTCTGCCCTGCAAACCAGTTCATCTGTACCATTTTTCTAGGTTCCACATATATGTGTTAATATACGATATTTGTTTTTCTCTTTCTGACTTACTTCACTCTGTATGACAGTCTCT